CCATCTCAAATCAGTTAAAAAAGTTAAAGAAGGACTGGGTCTAAGCCTTGTATTCCTAAATGTGTTATATAGGCCCAATGCCTATGAGAGTAACAATGTTAATCTCACTTCTATATCAATAAGAAACTCGTACCAATGAAAACCTTAAATTTGAAATCAAAGTAAATTTTGTACCATTTAAGAAATTATAACTTCAGCTTAATAACAATTATACAGATTTCTACCAATAGGTTATGGCTATGCAATAAATCCTAGCTATTCCTCCCTGTTCCAACAAAACCACTACTTTTCCCTGGAAAGACAGCCCAATGTTAACCACCTCAGTCCCCAAGCCTAAGGAATAGGGGTGCCAACTCTTCATTAACTTCTTCAAGCTGATTACAGGCATTGAGATATTAGAAGAGGGGTGGGGGAAGAGAGTTAATTTATAAGCCTCTGACGTCTGTGTCTTCACTGCATCCAGCTGAGATTCCTGGACATCAGAAGTTTGAGCAGGTCTCCTCAGCTTGCTTGATGAGTTGACACACCAAGGCTGTGTATTTTGCAATATACAATTCTCAAAACAAATTTTAGTATCAAGATATTTTTTGTTTGAATTCTGGAATCTAGACTTCTGGTGGCCTGTCTCTGTCATGTCTAATCCATATAATCCTGGGAGTTTCTATGAGGGTATGCTCCCACCATCCTCCCATTCCCGCCTCCCTGCTCTCAAATTCCTCAACACTAGGGAATCCAAACTATTGGGTACCAGGGCCCTCCACGTCCACTGATGCCTGACAAGGCCACCTTCAACTACCTATACAGGTGGAGCCATGAGTCCCTCCCTTTGTGTTCTCAGGCTGGAGGTTTTAGAATGGCTACTCCAGCTTGTTTCTTAGGACCATTTGCTTGAAAAATTGTTTTCCAGCCTTTTACTCTTAAGGTAGTGTCTGTCTTTGTCACTGAGGTACGTTTCCTGTATGCAGCAAAATCCTGGGTCCTGTTTAAGTATCCAGTCCTATGTCTTTTTATTGGGGAATTGAGTCCATTGATATTAAGAGATATTAAAAAACAGTGATTGTTGCTTCCTGTTATTTTTGTTATTAGAGGTGGAATTATCTTTGTGTGGCTTCTTTTGGATTTGTTGGAAGAGGATTACTTTCTTGCTCTGTCTGGGGTATAATTTCCCTCCTTGTATTGGAGCTTTCCCGCTAATATCTTTTGTAATGCCAGGTTTGTGGAAAGATATTATGTAAATTTGGTTTTGTCATGGAATATCTTGGTTTCTCCATCTATGGTAATTGAGAGTTTTGCTGGGTATAGTAGCCTGGGCTGGCATTTATGTTCTCCTAGGGTCTGTATGACATCCGTCCAGGATCTTCTCGCTTTTATAGTCTCTTGTGAGAAGTCTGGTGTAATTCTGATAGGTCTGCCTTTATATGTTACTTGACCTTTTTCCCTTACTGCTTTTAATAGTCTTTCTTTGTTCTGTGCATTTGGTGTTTTTATTATTTCATGATGGGAGGTATTTCTTTTCTGGTCTAGTCTATTTGGTGTTCTGTAGGCTTCTTGTATATTTTTGGGCTTCTCATTCTTTAGGTTAGGGAAGTTTTCTTCTATAATTTTGTTGAAGATATTTATTGGCCCTTTAAGTTGGGAATCTTCTCTCTCCTCTATACCTATTATCCTTAAGTTTGGTCTTCTCATTGTGTCCTGGATTTTCTGGATGTTTTGTGTTAAGAACTTTTTGCACTTTGCATTTTCTTTGACAGCTGTGTCAATGTTTTCTATGGTATCTTCTGCGCCTAAGTTTCTCTCTTCTGTCTCTTGTATTCTGTTGGTGATGCTTGCATCTATAACTTCTAATTTTTTTTCCTAGGTTTTCTATCTCCAGAGTAGTCTCCCTTTGTGATTTCTTTATTGTTTCTACTTCCATTTTTATGTCCTGGATCAATTTGTTCGATTCCTTCACCTGTTTGGTTGTGTTCTCTTGTAATTCTCTAAGGGGATTTTTGTATTTCCTCTTTAGGGGCATCTACCTGTTTACCTGTGTTCTCCTCAAATTCTTTGGGAGTGTTATTTATGTCCTTCTTAAAGTCCTCTATCATCATCATTAGAAGTGATTTTAAATCTGAGTCTTGCTTTCCTGGTGATATGGGGAATTCAGGACTTTCTAGTGTGGGAGAACTAGGTTCTAATGATGCCAAGTACCCTGGGTTGCTGATGCTTATGTTCTTGCGCTTGCCTTTCGCCATCTGGATCACCTTAGTGCTACCTGCCCTGTCTCTTACTGGAGCCTGTCTTTCCTATTATCTTAGTTGTTTCAGAACTATGTGGGGTGGGTGTTACTACTGGGGTTAGAGCTGGGGCCCAAGATCTGCTCAGTGCTCAGGCCCAGACTGGAAGGAACCAGTGCTCCGGGCCAGGAGTGAATTCCTGGGTCCTAGTGAGTTCCAGTTATTCTGGGGTGGGTGTTGCTGTCTCCTTACCTAAGATGCTGCCCAGGTTAGAGCTCCTGGGAGACCCACTTCCTCTGGGTTTTGTGAGATTGCATGCAGAGAAGACACCTGGGATCTGCTCAATGCTTGGGCCCACACTGAAAAGAACCAGTGCTCTGGGCCAGGAGTGAATTCCTGGATCCTAGTGGGTCCCAGTTATCCTGTTTTTTTTTGTTGGGGGGGGATTGCTGTCTCCCTACCTAAGATATTGCCCAGGTTAGAGCTCCTGGGAGGCCTACTTCCTCTGGGTTTTGTGAGATTGGGTGCAGAGCAACCACCCCAAATTATAATATTTCATACCTGCAGAATAGTATTTCATTTCAATAGTATTTCAAATGATCTGAATTTTTTAAATAAAATTCATTGCAATAAAGAAGTTTCATATCAATTTTTAAATTATTTATGTATGTATTTATGTGTATAGGTATACACATGTGATAGCACACTTATGGAGGTCAGAGGACAACTTTCCGAAGTTGCCTTTTTCCACTATATGGTTCCCAGGCTTTGAACTTAGGTCACCCCTTATCAGTTCCTTAACACACAGAATTCCCTTCGTGTAGTGTCCTGTTGATATTTAAAAGCAAAAGCCACTTGACTGTATGTCCAAAAGGTACTTGTCATAATTTATGCCTGTTTTCTAAAAAACAAACAACCTCAAAACACTGAGAAACAGAAAGAGGTGAAGACTACATTAGCAATTAAGGTATGTCAAGCTTAAGGCTAGGAATGTAGCTCAGTGGTACCGTGTTTTCAGGGACCTAGCCTGATCTCATAACTGTCAGCATTGCAGTTAATCTAATGGAAAGCATTAAACAGTATCAAATTAGTATTACCATTCTTTTAGATTTTTTTAAAAATTTGTTATTGGTTATTTTATTTATATTTCGAATGTTACCCTCCTTTCCAGTTTCTTCCCCAAAACCCTCCCATCCCACCACCTCTTCCCCCTGTCACCCACCTACCCACTTCTGACCCACCACCCTAGCATTCCCCTACACTGGGGCATCAAGCCTTCACAAGACCAAGGACCTCCCCTCCCTTTGATGCCAGAGAAGGCCATCCTCTGCTACATATGCAGCTGGAGCCATGGGTCCCTCCATGTATACTCTTTGGTTGGTGGTTTATTCCTTGGGAGCTCTGGGTGTCTGATTGGTTGTTATTGTTGTTCTTCCTATGGGGTTGCAAACTCCCTCAGCTCCTCCATTGGGGACCCCGTGCTTAGTCCAATGGTTGGCTGTGAGCATCCACCTCTGTATTTGTCAGGCTCTGGCAGAGCCTCTCAGGAGACATTCATATCAGGCTCCTGTCAGCAAGCGCTTCTTGGCATCCACAATAGTGTCTGGGTTTGGTGGCTGCATGTGGGATGGATCCCCAAGTGGGGCGATCTCTGGATGGCCTTTCCTTGAGTCTCTGCTCCACTCTTTGTCCCTGTAATTTCCTTTAGACAGGAGCAATTCTAGGTTAAAATTTTGAGAAGGATTGGGGCCCCCATCCCTCAACCAGGGACCATGTCTAACCTCTGGATATGGTCTTTAATTAATATAGTTACTTGGTAAGAAGAAATAAAATATTGTTTTGAAAAGAAAGTGCCAAGGAGCTAAAATGATTCTTGTTTTATTATTAAATAAAACAGGAAAGGTCAAAATCCAGGGGTGAGCATTTTAATAAATCTTGCAGAAAACCTTCCTTACTAGAAAGCTCCAATTATCTCCAGTTAAGTGAGGAGAGACAGACATTTGCATTAATTACCATCTTTCTAATATTTAGAAACTATTTTGTTAAATTAACTACTTTTACAATTTAAAAGGAATAAACAGTAAACTCTCAGTTTTTCATCCTTTTTGCTCTAGCTGTTCTAACAAAATGAGGCAGTTGTGGCCATGTTAGATTATATGAGAGGAGTTGAGAAAGGCAGAAGAAGCAGGAAGTGAGATCACCAGTTTGGGAGTAGTATAATTCCTCGAGGACATGAAAAGAGAGGATAAAAGGCTAGTTAACCTTTTAAAAGTATGATGTGGAATTGTCTAGCTCAGTTCATATGCATCTGCCTATTTCTAAAGCCTGCCAGCAAGAAGTCATTGATGGTTGTCAGTTTTGGAACCTGTGACTAAGAGAGAGATAAGAGGGAATGAATGAGCTTTTTATTTGTTAATTTCATATAAAAAGTTTTTCTAGTCTGATAGCTCTTAAGGATTTGGGGACATTTCAGCTTAGGGCTTTCTGTAGCATTGCCATCATCATCACCATTATTGTTTACTAAATGTATTTAAAATTATGTATATTTTCATTTGTTTATATGGTTTAGTTTTTCTTTTTCACTCTATTGATATGTGCCTTCCACGAAGCAAAAAACATGGTTATGTTCACCACTCTATTTATTAGGGCTTACACTTACAAGTAGTTTCTGAACTAGTAGTGGTGGTAAGGTCCTTATGAAGACAATTGGGAATTGGTTAGAAGTGGACTCTAGGGAGAGAACATTTTTATTAAAATCGTCCTAATCAATTTGTCTTTCTTAAGTCTGACCAAGGACATGACTGGAAAGGAAGATGTGTACCGGGGCCCAGCCATCAGGGCTCTCTGCAGAATCACAGATGTAAGTTCTCTTAGTTTAGCGCATTGCTAAAGGAAACACTAACTGTGGATTTATGCTTAGGTACATCTCCGTACGTCTCAATCTTCTCAAGGCTTATAATTTTTTTTGAGACAGGATCTTTAACTTGCTGTTTAACTCAGACCAGCCTTAGATTCACAATCTTTCTGCCTCAGCCTCCTGAGTGCTAGAGTTAAAGGCATGTATCACTATATCTGGCTTACATTTTGTAGTTTGATCCAGATCAGACTGGAAATTTTATAAATCTGGATCCTAGAAGAAATAATATAAACAGCTTAATTTTTTTTTTGCTACCTTGTTATTTTGTTGTGGTTTTCTTTTTGGTGTTAAATTTTTAGTTGAGACTTAGCAAATTCTTTTAAATCTGAATATTGGTCCCAGTATGTTTACACATTTTTATCTGCCACTACCCTTCTGGAACAAAAAGCTTTTTTCATGTTAAAGTTTACAAGAACCTTACTTCCAGATGATTCTATGCTGAGGGTTTACTGTAGTAGGATATTACACATTTAATTTGCCATGTATCTTAAAATAATCAGAAATTTTATTTGATGTGTAGGTTTAAGATATATAACAAGTGCTTTTCATATTAGAACCGTTTAAGCATCTTGATTCCAAAAGGAG